TTCAGTTATCTAAATCTAGAGGAGCTCTGCCCAGCCCCCACACTTAAAGGAGATTACAAAGCTGGGTGCAGTGGCACAGGCTAGTAATCCCAGTTCACAGGAAGCTGAGGCAGGAGGATCATGTGTCTGAGGACAGCCTAGGTTACGGAGTTAATTTCTGACTACATTGTGACACCCTTTCTCAAAACAAACGAACAAGGAGATTACAGGTACAGCCTAGGTGCTAAATTGGCGGTCACAGGATGGGGGGGGGGTGGTAAAGAAGAAAGGTGACAGAAAGTAGCCTGCTTTGAGGTGACAGGGGAGTGAAGGCTTCAAAGCCTCCCCGTCATGCCTTAAGATGGGCCCATCATGAAGGATGTGTTAGGGCCTGTGTGCATCATGCACCGAGCCCAGCCCCCTTTTGGGGCTGAAGGGCTCACTCTATTCCCACCATTTCTGAGGGAAGGAGAGGAACAGCAGGACATTTTCTTTCCCAGATAAAACTCAGGTCAAATTTCAAGGACAAAAGTTAGCACTTGGCCTGGGAAGGAAAACTCCGCCAAATCCTGTAAATTGGGAGGGAGGGTTACATTCTAATGTGGTCATTCCAGGTGCCTGGGGGCGCTGGCAGGAAGTAGAGCTCTGATTCTCTGATTCTTGGTGCCAAGATCTTGTCTGGCAGGAAATGGGTAGCTTCACAACCTAGAAGTAATTCAAACACCCACCTCCATTTCCCCTCTGTTCAAAACCAGGGGTAGGGGGGCTGTGGTACTAGTTTATGGATACCATCCACCAAGCCCCACCCCCAGAAGATTGGGTCTGAGTGGAAGAGGGAGGTGTCATGAAGGGCTTTCCAGCCCAGAGATGTGGCCCGAACTGCTAGGAGAGAGACCGGTAGCCGGCTGGTGTTGCCATGGTAACTTCCTCCCTGAGCTGGATCGAAGCATCCATCCTATGGACAAATCAGAGCCGACTTCTCCAGCTTCTCCGCCCTTCTCCTGGGCGGGCGGGGGAGAACTGGACGCCAAAATTACTTGGTCAGGCTCAGGAACGCTACCCTCAAATCCAGACCCTGATGTAACGATCCCTTTTGGCGTCTGCTAGAAAGGGGATACTCTCCTGCTCCCCATCTACACCCCAAGGCAGTGTCAGGGACAGGCCTGTAGATGTGCTGCCAATGAACTCATTCGGAAGACCAGTGAAATGAGTGGCCAGAATGCTCCCCACCTTCATCTGACATGAAAGTCCCCCAAATCCCCATCATCTTTTAGGCACTTCAAAGGAGAGCCCCATTCTACCTCAACAACTACAACAATGTAATAAAATTAGCCCGCTGAAATGATGACAGCTAACATCTTGAGAATCAGGTTTCTCTTTGCCCAAACCCACAGGATTCTTCTTTACAGCCATCCTTTCACTTGGTAATAAGACATATCAAAGCCAATGTGTATTGAGACCTATCTCATGCCTGGTACTGAACTAAGCCCTCCATATGGCAAACAGCGTAACAAAAAGCAGCTGTGCTTAAATCACTTTGCCCAGATTCAAACCCTTACTCCTTCACTTCCTGGCTGAGTGACCTTGGATGGATTACTTGGACCTCAGTATTCTTATCTGAAAATGGGATGCTATGAAGAAGGAATTAAAATGCATTAAAAATGCCTAGAAAGACATCTAGCACAAGATAATCATTTTTAAAACACTGGCCCAAAGGAGTATGCACTATGATTTTCTTCCCCATCTAGAGGAGAAAAACAGGGTCATATGTGGAGCTCCTCCCTACCCTAATTGCAAACCCATGGCCAGTGAGGCTGAGCAATGAAGACATGGGCACACTTATACCCCTGAGTGTCCCTGAGTGCCTGCCTGTCTAAAATGCCAGTGTTTAGGGGAACAAGACAAGACGGCATCATGGGAGATGCATCTAGAACATAGGAGAGATGCCTCCTGACAGGCACTGTAGCAACCTACAGTGACCAGCCTCTTGGGCTGGAGAGTGGCTAGAAAGAGATGGGAAAAGAGGCAGTTCCTTTGCGCACTTCACTGGCCAATGCTCCTAAGTGCAGAGCAGGGATGTGCTCTGCCCCATTTATAGCTAATGGCAAGTCTCCTCAGCCTAACTCTTCAGCAAACTAGCCGGTGAGGGCACGTGAGCCTTGAAGACAGCTCTGGCCTGTCTGATGCAAAGATGCATCAACATGAGTTGGAAACAAGTGGGGGCTCTCAGATGAGCCGGCCTGTCAGAGACACACTTCCGAATTGGAGCCATCAGGGACAGATTGGCTGCAAGAGGACCAACAAGGGGAAAGAGGCAGGTAGAGCCAAGTCTGTGCTGACCTCCCCCTGCTGAGCCAGTCTCTGTCCAGGAGCCCAGAACCTATTCCAAACGCTTTAGAAATTAGACCAGTGCAGTGCTGGGTTAAAAGAATGAATCTAAAAGGCTTCTTTTGGGGGACTGTGAGGGAATGAGATGATCAAACACCAAGACAACTCAGAGTTGGTCCTTACTTCCAACCTTTTCCAAATCCTCATTAGTTTGGGGGAAATGAAAGTAGACTTTCTCCTCGTCCCTCCCAAACTCAAGGCAGCCTTGGAGATGCCCAAACAGAACCCTGGGCTTCCAACCACTCCCCAAGGCCCCCTCACTTGGGAACCATTTTCTACACAGTGAGGAGGGCTATCGGTGTTCTGAAAAGAGAATTGGAAACCTGATTTTGGTCTCAGTTTTGTCTATGTGACATTGGATGACCTTGGGTTTTATACACACACACACACACCTCTAGGGCTTCAGTCATTCACATATACTCATACTCACAGGTACACAACCCCTCCCCATCTATTTGGGGACTAGGAAGGCTGAACAAGATGATGTCTACGTCTCTTCCAAGTCAAACACAAGAATTTGAAGAAACCCACTGAGAAGGGAAAAAAATAGACATTTACAAATATTGCTAATATTATACACAAAGTTATCTTTGACTTAAGTGAAACCTCAAGCAAGTCTCTTGCAGCAATAACCGCCAAGTGCCTGACCCACAACATGCAGCATGACTTTGGAGAAAAGCCCAACTGAGCCTGTCTCTGACGCTCCTACACACCTGTGCTCCTGCCCAGCCTGACTCCTGAGACACAAGCGGCCTGCTAAACTTCAGGAAAGTACCCAGCCATCAAGCCAGGGCTGGAAGCCTGCTCTCTCTCCACAGCAGCTCTCTTCCCTAGGATACCCACCTCAGGCTAGCCTGATTACCTTTCTCTGAGTTAGTTCCAGCAGAGACCACTGCATCAGGGACCCCCTCCCCCATTCCTCCTCACCTGGCCTTGTCTAGAATAATACAACCTCCCTCATCTACATCAAAGGCAAAGCTATTTGAACCTCAATTATTTGATCTGTGAAATGGTGATTCCATAAAATGGATCTGCAGCAACCATCTTAATTCCCACTCCCACCCCCAGGTCAATAGCAAGACAAGTCTACCAGGGGTCTACCTCATTGACCCCCATTCCCTCACCATCCACAGGCTCTGGGAACCCTCCCATGACCATCTGCCTCCTGCAGGTGAGCACCCACTATGAACCGCTCCATCCTATAACAGAACCTAGACTGCCGGTTGACCAGACAATGGTCCCAGCAGGCAGCAAGTTGAAATCTGAGCTTTTGAACTCCCTAGAGCTGGGCAGTAAATTTCCTGGCTGGTGTGTATGTTTTTTTTTTTTTTTTTTTTTGAGACAGTCCATATTTTAATCAGTCTTGACACTGTCTTGTTCCTCCCTACCACACACAGACCTTTTTGTCCCCTCCCTGAATTCAAATGATCTTAGTACAAAACAAAACAAAACAAAACAAAACAACAACAACAACAACAAAAAAAAAACCACTTAACTCCACCCTCACACCACAGAGTCTTGTATCTGAGGCACATCCCTCTCTTCCAGATGAGGAAACTGAGGCTCAAGGTGGTATGACTTACCCAAGGTCACAGCTTATAAGAATGAGAACTGGGACCTGATTCGAACTCCTACTGTTGGCACTCTCTGGGGGAACTCTCACCCAAACCCTCTAGGTACCCCCACCTGTTGTGGATTGGCTTCTTCACCCCAGAACCAAACTCACAGCTCTCTGTATCCTCTACATGGTCCCAGGATCCAAGAGCAAGGTTTCCCTGCACCTCCTCATCCCTGGGCTGTTTGCAGGCCAGAGAGCAGGAGGCTTGGGCTACAGACTGGTGGCTGGGTTCAGCCCATCCGGAAGGGCCACTCCGAGGACAAGAGCACCCGAGGTCAGGGGCATACACTGGAGGCTGTGCTAGTGTAGAGTAGGCCTGGTGCCGCTTTACTAAACCTGCCTCACACCTCCCTGGGGTATGAGCTGAAGGCAAGAGGAGGAAAGGCCAGCAGACACCCAGCCAGTTCTTCGCGGCCTTCCCCAGTCGGATTAGAACCTGAACCTGGAGTCTGGAGCTCCAGTCTATGGGGGAAGGGAATGAACCAGAGACAAACGGGGCACTCAAGGCTTTGGCCACAGAGCAAAGGTCTTAGGCAGAAAGCCACTGGGTGCAGCGAAGACGCGGACAGAGGTAAAATCTGTGCGCCACCTCCAATGGTGGGGTCACGTCGGAAGCCCAGGCGCGAGGCGGCCCAAACCCCAAGATCTGACTCGGGGGCACTATATAGGAGATGGGGTCGTGGCAGGTCTGGTCAAGGAAGAGGACGGGGGAGTCCACCAGGCGCAGATAAACAGGGAGAGTTGGGTCCAGGCGACCCAAGGGCCCACCTGCAGGAGGAGGGTGAGCGCAGGTGACCAAGGGGTCCCTGGGGGACAGGCAGGACCTGAGCTCCTCCTAGACCCCCCGGAGTCCCGAGGAGGAGGGGTAGGGGGCCCCTGGGGTGTGTATCTGAGACGGGCCCGGGGGTGGAGCTGAGACGGTGGCCGCCTCTCCCGGGCGCCCCGGGTTCCGGAGGGGGCCTGGGCATCAGGATCCCGGGACACCTCCGGGCTGGGTGTCGCGCTGCGCGCTCACCTGCATCCTCATCGTCGAAGGAGTTCATGCATGGGAAGTAGATGGCGAGCGCCTCGAAGGAGGCGGACAGGCTGAGGCGGCTCTGCGAGCGCTCCATGCCCGCGCCCGCGCCCGGAGCCTCGGCCGCGGCGGCGGCGGGCGGCTTGGGCAGCTTGGCCGCCCCATTCTTCACGCGGAGTACGGCGCGCGGCGTGGTGGCGGCGGCTCGGGACTCCGCG